CTTGAATGTCGAATGAGGTATGTTTAAGACCGATGGGTTTGATTGAAGAAAAATATGGGAGTTTGGGTTTTCAAGAATGTTAGAATTTGAATATATCAAAAGGAAATAAGGCTATGGAAAAATATCCTGATAGGAAAGTCAATTGTTCCTAGGATATATTTAACTCTGGAGTGTATCAGTGATAGGATCGGGTCACCCGAGTGTCAATCTGTAACATAGAATTACTGGAGTGGGGTTTAGTGGGAGTAATTTAGTCCCGTCACATCGGCACTGCACTCTTGTCATGATGCTATCTACGTCTTACCTCGTAAACAGAGTGCCTTACAAGACCCTGGCTGCCACGCCCAGATAGCTTACTGACGACACATGGCACACTATATCTAGAAGAAAATGTTGGCCAACAAAACGTTCAACAATGACTGGGAATTTGGCAACCTGTTGCCATTTTGTGTTGGAAGAAGACTGCAGGAGAGGACATAGCAGCTGGATCTGACTCTTTCCTCAGACAGGCGGGGAATGAGGTCGACAATATGAATAGATACCACGCATTGAGTATATATTGCTCTGAGACATTCTTGTCCACTCCATTTAGGCAAGAAAGAAACTTATCTAGCTTTGAATGTCAAGAGGGGTTTACTTTACAATGGGAAACTTACCAATGTGGATATGACCCATAAAACCCCATATTTTTCAAAGTATCAGTATTTTACCATTATTATCCGCAGCAGAGGAACTTTAAACTTCAAATTAAACTTTAATTTAGAGAACTATCTGATAAACCGACCCCAAAGAACTAAAACCTGTAATTTTTTTAAGAGAAGAATAAAATGGCAATATACTCCATTTCTATTGCTGATATCCACCATCATATGACGTTAACAAGAGCGGTAATTTCAGGATTCTGGCATGCAATCTACATATGTAATAACATCCCCGAGCCTCCTACTCACTGTATCAAACCTTGAATTTGACATTGAGCTAATGCGTCCCATTCTTGATGGAGGGCAATACATCAAGATTTTGAACTGGAGGATCTCTCTGGCGTGTTTTGCGACCCCTAATGTCACAAACATGCTCTATGTGCTCTATGGGATTGAGATCTTGATTCTTGGCGGGCTATGGTAGAGTTACTGCCGCCTCTTGGCGTATGAGCTCACAAATGGCACGTGAGCCATGTGGCCTAGCATTGTCGCCAATGAAGACTTACCTTATGTTCCGAGGATGGTCGCTGAAATGTGGTACAACAACCCTGTCTATGATGTCAGTAATGTTCCATTGTCCATTCAGATTTTGTCACGGGGTCACAGAGATTCACCCCCACAACATCAATGAACTCTCGCCAAACAGTACTTGAATATGCAATATTTCAGTGACGTCAAGCTTGTTACCAAGTTATTCATGCTGGTTTGTGCTCTGTGGATAACAACGGATGTCTGACAGGTCGTCTAGCTCTATACCGAAACCTATTTTAGGCGATTTAGAACCGTTCTGTTGGACAAACGACGATGTAGAACCCACTCTGTGTTTAAAACGGCACTTCACATGGAAGGAAGACAGATTCTGAGAAGAGTTGTATCCTCTCATGGCGTTGTCGCTCGTGGTGCAACTGAATGCTGACGGCTGAAATCGACGGATGACATTTCTTGCAATAACCTTCAATGACATGCCAGCACTCCTCATACCAAAAACATGTAATCTTTGAGTTGTTATCATTAGAGGAGGCCACAAATTTGTCAACATGGAAATCAAACCTCAGATGTAACCATACCAAGGAATATATACTGAGTCAAAAAAGAAACTTCACATTCTTTCTTCAGGGCACTATAAAAGAACAAGAGATTGTAAGATGTTTAAATTGTTATTATTTCATTGCTGAGATCTGTGTGATGTACTCGATACACTGACAGTGCCATAATCAGTTCCATTAGGCTACACAGCCGTTCCAAAACATTGGTATACAGAATGTCAAGTCACAAGAATAAAAATGCGAAATTTCTCAGTTCAATATCGTGTATGGCCGCCCCGCGCATTCACCACTGCCAAACACCGTCTCCTCATCGACTGCCTGATGCTTGTGAACACGTGGTTGGGGATTCTGCGCCATTGCTCTTGCAAGGCAGCGCCAAGTTTCTGCAAATTCTGAGGTTGGTTCCTAAGACCACGAAGCCTTCTCCCAAGTGCATCCCAAACGTGCTCTATTGGATTAAGGTCAGGGGACCTCGATGGCCAGTCCATGACGTTGATTCCAGCGTTTTGAAGGCAATTTCGTGTCAACATCGCGGTATGCGGCCGAGCATTATCATGCTGGAACTGTAGACCTGGGCCATGAGCCGCCATGAAAGGAATGAGTTCAGGGGTGAGCATCTGGTCGCGGTAAGCAGCAGCTGTGAGGTTTCCACGGATGACCAGAAGTCGGGAACGGTTGTTCCCACAGAAAGCACCCCACACCATGCAACTTCCGCCCCCGAATCTGTCGACTTCCTGTACACAACATTGGCCATACCGTTCACGACGTCGTCTCCAGACTCTATGCTCTTGCGACGTCAATAACTGATCTTCCCGCTTGCAACATGCCAACGGCACGTTCACGTTGCACATTTGACAATCGTGGCATTTCAAGTACCGTTAGAACTGTGGTTTAAAAGTGTTTTATCAATTCTTGAGGCCAATGCAAACATGTGCATATGAAGAAAACTTCGATGCGAAGATCACGTGATCGACTGCACGTGCAAAACCTGATTTGGCACTAACGTCATTTGCACGACGAATGGATGGGTTTGAGTGGGTTTTGCTAACGTTTTTCTAGAGTCGAAAGATAGGGATCCCATTTCGGATACATAGATGTATCATCAGAGAAAAATTATTCATTATTTTTCAAATTACATTTTGTGAAGTTTCTTTTTTGACTCAGTATAGTTGTGCGTTCGAGTATCAGACAAGACTTGGCAAGCTCTCTGCACTTTCAGACAGGAGAGCCAGATGTCTTTTTATACTGTTACAAATCCAAACGTATAATAATTCAGATTAATTTGAAGGTACAGGATAGTTTTCAAATGCATTATGTAAGCGGCTGACTTTGTGTGCTGGCGATTAGGTGCCTGACTCTGAGGGGTTATCTCCCATTTGACAGACACCCATTTGACAGACACCCAATTGACAGACACTGAACTAGAAGGTTAATTAGGGTAACACCTACGGGTATATTTGAACAGTCCACTGTCTAGTGAGTAGAGCAGGGTGAGCCTGAAACAGGTTCGTTACTGAGAAGTTTGTGGGTAAATAGAACTTTGTTGTCATTAAATGATAAATGATTTCTCTTCTCAAAATTGATTTTACTATCAATTACTATCGAATGTAAAAACAGGTTTGTCACTGAGAGTTTTGATTGTGTTTATTGATAGAAAAGACCCATCCCAATAATAGCATATGTACAACAGAAGTTAACTGAGAAAACGTTTTGTTGGAGAGATACAGATATGTACATATTTGAAAACATTCTGATTTGCAGTAAATGAGACACCTGCATTGCCATGTAAGATACGATTAATACCAATCAGTGTTCTAATTTCAACAATCCTTTCTAAAGATTGTAACAGTTTATGTCTTTGAGTAGTATACAACGGACATTCAAGGAAGTAATGAAAAACATTCTCACATCCATGGCCACATTGACATGATGCGTCATATTTTAAATATTTATTCTAAATAAATCGTAATTAAGTGCACTCGTCATATATCTTAATATTGTGTGCAAAACATATAACTTCTATATTCCATATGAATAATATTTAGGTTCACATTTGTCTTTATTTGATTTATATGATACAACAGTGTCGCAATTTCTAATAGCTAAGCTAATGTTTTCAATATGATGATGCCGACTCCCGTTAGACTAGAAGGTTAAACCGAAATGTTTATGAAAATAAACTGTTTTTATATTGCCGCAATAAAAATTCAAATTACTGTCTTTTCGTCCATCTTTCAAAATAAATAATATAGCTTCAGTTTGTTCCTGTGTTTTTATTTGGACTATTCTATTATAATGTGTAGGTAACAGGTAGTAGATAATCTGTTCACTGAACCGTAAATGTTGTTGTTTTAAGGTGTCTGCGAACTGGCTGTCTGCGTAATGGGAGGACACCCAAATATACATGTGTAAGCATTTTGGTACACAACCCTGAGTGTTATTTCACATTTTGTTTGTACAGTAGCATCTATTTGAATGATCCAATGTTCAACATTGAAAGTAAAATATATACATATATACTTGATTAAAGATTGGTTTTTCACATGATTTATATATATGTACACCGGTGCCTATCCTATTCTTCGTAATTAATCTTGACAGCTCGGGCCAACTCTGACAGGACACTTGCGATCAAGGTTATATCGGCATTATGGAAAACTGCTTCACTTTGAACAACGTGTTTACTTAAAAAATACCAGGATCTGAGACAGTATAAGGTGGTAACTGTGTCTATATCTCTAATAACTTTCCACCCTATACATGGGGTGTGTGGTTTTTTTACAAATAAAAGTTAAAAAAAAACCACAAAGCAAAAACAAGGTATTTTAAACACAAATATGTGTGTTTAGATAACGACTAAAGATCATGTGGAGAGTGGGGCCAGACGTCTCTCCACATGGACCTCTTCCATTCCATAGATAGAAACACCATGTCCGACTGACGTCAATTAATGTCACTATTGTTGGAGGCATTTGATACGTTTCAAATCCATTTTCGTTTAACGATTCCTTAAGTGTAAACTTTTGCTCAACCAAGTTCAGACTGCTCGCCTTCCTATTTCAAGCGACTTACTCGCAATAACTTAATTGAGCTGACCGTGTGTAGTCTGTGATTATTTAACCCATGTGTCGTTGTTGCACGAATAACAAGCCGACAATGGAGTAATTAGCCAATAATAACTTTGGTGCGTCTTTAACCAGGCCCAGTCCGACTTTTAGGCAATCCCGAAATAAACAGGTATTACTGCGCATGTGTGGCCACCTTACTTCCGTGTTAGTCCGTTGCATTCGAAGTATATATCTAGGTGTTCGTCAAGAAAGGCTCTCAGAAAGGCTCTCAGCATCACTTGCTCCTGTTTCAGTATAAATATTGTGGTGCCGTCAAGATTGGGTCAAACATGTCCAAAGTTCGTCGTGCCGCTCATGCTGGGAGCTGGTATTCTGATAAAGGTACAGTGAATGTGAAGGACTTACCATGAGGGAAGTTTGGTATTCACACAAAAAAACTTTGTTAAGATGGTAACAACACATTTCAACGGGCTCACGCTTCCCAGATTCTCGTGCTTCTTCGATCCTTATGGTAAGGGTAGGTTACCCCCAAATAATATACCCTATCATATTTTCGATCAAACAAACCATTTATTATTGACCAATAAGCATGATAAGGTTGTGAACTAATTAGCAAGTCTAAACTCCCCTTATTTATCCTTTGGGTTGGACACTCCTCTGCCGTACTTAGGGTTTGTTCTGACCAGCCATGGGTAGCTATCTCTTTTATTCTTATATCAAGTTTGTGTTTTGAGGAAATTGTTGGGTAAGAGTTCCGCCCGTACCCCCCCGCTTGAAATGTATTCTATTTATTAGGATTGTTTCGAGAGTTTAGGGTTAGGGTTAGGTATAGGCTGTTCATAAAAAAAACATAGGTGTCTATTCTTAGGCATATAATGATTTAAAAGAATATGTGGGTTACGGGCGGAAATCTTTCCAATTGGTATTGTACAGAACCGTAACCTAAGTTCGCGGATAACCTTGATTCATGGATTGCGGTATTTATCATGCTATCTCATAAATTAAGTTTCGTATGAAGTCACGAAGCGGTACTTTTGATTTACATACAGTGCCACGCCTCGCTGACAAAAATGTTCCCGAATCTCTGCATTACACGTAAATACACTAAAGCTAATTGTTCAGCACTGAGATAAATAGCCCAAGATCACCAATGGCACCAATGCCAAATTTTATTTTTACAAAATGTCAAGTAGATAAGATACCGTTAGCACCAACCTTCTCATATCTCGTCATATGCTTTCCTAGATGTCAGTACTTACTGCAATGGGCCGTTAAACATGTAACAACTCGACGCATGGCTGGCTGGGACACGTGTGTATCTATTTCCGGTCACTTCCATCAACATCAATACATGCCGCTTATGACATGGCTAAGAGCATTACGTTACATCTCCCAAGATTAAAGTCCAACATTGAGGGGAAATGAACATTTGTGAAGATTACTGTCCTTGAGTCGGGACAAGACTTTTGGTCTAGACACTAGGTGTTCTACACAGAAATCAAACCAATTTATATATATAAATAAGTGTAAGACAAAATAAATTTGGCACGTCTGTTACCTTAGCACTTCAAAACTGAAATTAAAAATCAAATATAAGTCTTTTACGCATATGACTACTGTCACTAGCTGCTTAAGCTCTAAGTTGAAAGCTTAATGCTTTAAGAGTCATTCACAGATCAAGTCTATCAGGTGGTGTTACACGTCTGCCTGATCTGGTGGTGACTGCAGGGTTGGCAGTCGTGGTGTTGGTGAGCAGGCTGCTGCTGGTGTTGCTGCCATGTAGTGTGTCATGCTGCATGTAGTGTGATTGAGTGGACCGTGGTAGTGTAGCGTCACTCGTAGATGGCATCTCTCCAGGCGGGCTGCTGGGCTGACTGCTGATGTTTGCTGGAAGTGTAACCTTTCTCAGGAACTTTCGGTTATGCCTGTAAGTACCAGCATCGGTGGCGACATGATACGACCTGGGTTTGGAGTGGTGACCTTGTACAACACCTGATCTCCATGACTTGTCAGTGCCTACTGGAGCAAGTCTCACTTGGTCTCCTGGCTTTAGCTCTGGGAGTGGTTTAGCACACTTCTTTGTATCATAGTAAAACTTCTGTTTCACATGCTCTCTGCTTGCTCTTCACCATTCCAAGATGAGACTCATGGATGACGCTAATCATGTGTTTGCTAAGAGTCGGTGGCACAACTAGGCGCAGACCCTTATAGATGATGCTGTCTGAAACAGAGCTGGTCACGTGAGTCCCTGTATGGACGGGCTTCTATCTGAACATTCCCTCTGTCATCTGGCCATCCATTTAGAGCGACTTCGGTGACACATTTGAGCTCTTGCTGAGTCATCTCCTTTATCTCCTCATATCGATCAGGAGTGATGTCCAACATGTGGACTCTGTCAGAATCCATGACTTCTGGCTGAGTCTAGGTCTTGTCCAGGTACGCTCTTGATAATGCATCGGCTGCTTGCATGTCAGGGCCTTTCCTGTACACGACAGTCTCCTTTCCAAAAATGTAACAGTGGAACTTGTTGACTGCATGAACGATGGACAACATCTCCTTGTCTATGTGCGCATACCGCTTCTCTGTTTTTGTGAGGGATCTTGAGGTAAACGCAACTGGTCTGTTCTCTGGATCAGTACAGCTCCCAAGCCCGACTGGGATGCATCACACTGAATTTCGACAGGCTTGCTGACATCGAACAAGGCGAGGACAGGTGGTGAGCTGCACATTGTCTTCAGTTTGTCGAAGCTACTTTGCTGTTTGTGGTCCCAGTGAAACATACATATATACAAACATTTGTAAAGAGTTAGTATCCAGCGTTAGCTGCTCAAAAGCGCTAGTGTCTGAGATGATTGAAAAGGGTCACTGAAATGCCATATTGAAGAAGAACGTGTTGAGTTTAGATTTGAACATGGACAATGTTTGCTCGGTTCTTATGTCAAGTGGGAGACTTGTTTCAGAGAAGGGGTCCTGCACGTTCAAAGGAGCGGTCACCAAACGTTTTTGTACGGGAGGAGGGTACAACTAGGAGAGACTTGTCACATGAGCGCAGTGTCCTAGGTGGGTGGTATCTGGTCAGCAGACTGTTGAGGTAATCTGGTGCTTTGTTATGCAGGGACAGGAACACCAGTACAAGTATCTTGTACTGTATCCGGTAGTGCACTGGCAGCCAGTGAAGGTCCTGCAGGACTGGTTGTATGTGGTCGAATTTCCTCTTCCTGCGGACAACTCGGCTGCGGTGTCCTGCACTTGTTGCAGTTTCTTGATCAGGTTGTTGGGAAGCCCGAAGAGGAGGGAGTTGCAATAGTCCAGACCGGATGTTACGTGAGATGGCTGAATGCTGGTCGAGGTACCGCCTTATTAGCCCAATATTTCTGTATGGAAATAGGCTCGCCTGCAGATGGTATTAACATGAGATTCAAGACTGAGACTGCTGTCAAATGTCACGCCCAGGTTGTGAGCTTTTTTGCTGATTGGAATTTCACAGTCTCCAATGTGAAAAGATGAAAGATGGTACCGTAGATGTAGATGCTTTGGGCTGATGATCATCAGTTCTGTCTTATCATCATTTAGTTTGAGGAAATGCGATGTCATCCATGCCTTGATGTGTTCAAGACAGTCTTTGAGTTGTTGAAAAGCATTGATTGCTGAAGGCTGTTCCATAGGCTTGAAGGTAAGATAGAGTTGCGTGTCATCCGCATATAGGTGGAAGCTAAGCTTGTACTGTCTCGCTATGTCACCGAGTGGGGAGGTGTGTATTGTGAACAATACAGGGCCCAGGACTGATCCTTGTGGGACGCCATAAACTAGCTCCTTCTTGTCCAACATGTACCCATCAATGCAGACTGATTGGTATCTTTCTGACATGTAAGATGCAATCCATTCCAAAGCCTTGCCAGTTACTCCTTGCCTGTCCTGAAGTGTCTTCAACAGAATGTCGTGGTCTATTGTATCGAAGGCAGCGGAGAGATCCAACAACACAATAATTGCTGCTCCCTCCATGTCCAGCGCTCTCGGTAGATCGTTCTGGACCTTGAGGAGTGCAGTCTGTGACCTGTGCGGTATGCTGATGTAGGGTTTCGTATAACTTGTTAGATTTCATGTGTTGTTTCAAACGTGAAACGCTGGCAGAGAGACATCACAGCTCAGGGTTTCATCAGCATAAACATAATCGCAATGTGCGAGTCCAGATCTTATTTTGGTGATCTTCTCTGAGAAGAACTCTGAGAAGCGATCTCAAAGTTCTTTTGGAGCCTGACAAGTGGGAAGAGATACTTGCTTCTGTTTGTGTAAGAGTCTGTTTCTTCCTGTAGTGCCTGATTGAAGAACTTGGATTTCGTAGCTTCCATCAACGAGTTGACACAGTTCCTCTGAGCATCATGAAGCTCCCGGTGCACGACGAGCTGGGTTGTTCTGAACTGCTTTTCCAGTTTGCGACGTTTCCTCTTTTCTTGCCTGATGACCATATCATACCAGGGAGCATTTGTATGAGTTGTTGCAGTGCATGTTTTCATAGGTGCATGCTTGTCAATGGCTGATCTTGAAGCCGTGTTGTACAACTTCAGACACTGAGATACACACAGATCCTGGTAGCCTGACAGTTTGTAGAAAGATCTTGCTTGAAGTTATCAATGTCAATTTCTTTCCATTTCCTGAAGGATACTTCTTTCCTCTCCCATACAGGTACTTTGATGCTTGTTTTGAATAGGATTTCAGCATGGTCGGACTTTATGGATAAATCAAGTGAAATGTCCTTAACAGCTATGTCATCTTGGCGAGTGATAATCAGGTCTAAAAGGTGTCCCTTGATGTGAGTTGATTCACATACATGCTGGACTAGTACGTGAGTATCAAGTAAGCTCATGAATTTCTGTGCATCCTTATTCTGCCTGTCGTCAATGTGATAGTTAAAATCACCTAGTATCAGCAGACGTCCCGGGGTTGTAGTTAGGGAGTCCAATAGTGCGCCAAACTAGTCAAAGAAATCACTTGATGTCTTTGGAGGTCTGTATATGAGCAATATGTTCATATGCTGTCCTTGTGCAGAGATATTTACAAGAAAGTGTTCCGAATGTCGTTTGTAAAGACATAGTGTTCAGATGAGAGCACTGAAGTCTGTCATTGTATATAACAGCCAAACCCCCGCCTTTTTTCTTTCCCCCTCTTGCGACTTGAATAAGTTTGTAGCCAGGCGGAGTCATTTTAGCCATTAATATGTGGTCGGATTCGCAGATCTAGCATTGATTAGGCCAATCTTGATGTCATGAACCATTGTAAGTTAAAATCTTAGAGGATTTATAAGTCTCAGGTGTACTTTTAGTGTTTGCAGATTCCACCGACATCCCCGTCGAGTCCTTTTCACTCCACATATGCCAAGACGG